TATACATTACTCTACAAAGTAAATCAATGTAATACCAAAAATTGGAATATTTTAATGTTACTCTACAAGTAACACAATAAAACATATGTTATTCAAACATGTAACTCATAAAATATTATTTTTCCTGAATGAAAAATGAAAAAAAGGATGTATTTTAGAGGAGTTATAAAATATTAATTTTTAATAATAGTGAGGTATTTTTCAAAAAATAATGCTAAATGTACAATTTGGGGATCATCCCTATGTAATGCTAAATGTTCATTTCATGACACATGGGCACACGGTGTGGTCCCCCCCTTTTTCTGAGGCAAAGTGGCATTAAGGTGGACTACTATAATATTTATATGTAACACGTCCCATATCTGCATATTTAATTGGTATTATTATTGCACCGTGTGCCCATGTGTCATGAAATGAACATTTATGCATCAGTTGTTAGGATGTGTCTCAATCAAAAAACGTCACAGTCTTCAAGGCTTACCTAAATAAAGGAATCTATAGAATTTTAATACTTGATTAGAAACATGATTAGAGGCCTCAAACAGTCTCAGACATAGACGAGACACATCTTAGTGTGAATTCGGACAAATCAACTTTGATGTTGTGTCACATGCCTTTGCACGTAAGCAGATTGAATATGGACAATGTCACAAAAGTACTAATATCAATAAGCTTATAAAATTTAATCATGAATTCCTTATCAAACCTTATAAATAGGCCATTGCACAACTTAAAAATTGACTTTTGAAAATCAATCTCTCTCACACCCAAATACTAAAAATTGGATTCTAAAAGTCCAAGAGGAAAAGCTTTTGAGAAATTGATAGGAAAATTACATGGTTAGCTTTTAAAAATACAATCCATTTGTTGAGGTCAACAGTTAGATGCCGACTATGGGAGCTTCTTATCAAAACCATGAGCAAAGAACGTGCAAGGAAAAAGAAAAGCAAAGAAAAACGAACGGAAATCAATCAAACAATAATAAAAATTCAAACTAGAATAGGAATGAAGCCATGTTTTAGCAAGGAAATACTCATAATAGAGATAGATTCATACAATATCTTGAGACTTTTAGATTTCAATTTAGTGCATTGAGATCTTGTAAACACAATTGTTATTGATTATAATTGATTTCTCCTCATTTGTTCGTGATTTTTTCTCGTATTGAGTTTCCACGTAAATTTTGGTGTTTATTTCATTATTGTCATTATCACTCGATCCAAAATTCATAATAGAGTTTCACCTCTCCAAGAGGATGGAGGTGAGAATTGAATCGACGGCTCAATGCAAAGACAAGCAGAGTCACATTACCCCCACCAAATAGCCAACATGCATACTGACCCACCACTCGTATGAAGGCAAGCATCCCATCGTGAACGAGAGCGAAGGGCTTTTAAGTCTGCTAGTATTTTCAATAGGTTGGCAAGAGCCGAGCCCATAAAGGACGAAGCCCTCAAGAGGATCTGGAGAAAGAGCTGGGCAAGAAAAAGTTGGTCAGTCCATCAAGTATGAGAATTAGGCTTCTCTCTTTGCTTCCTTAGAAGGATTTTGGAGCTGGCAGCTCTGGCCAGAGTAGATGGATGAAAATGACAGTATGCTCTTTTTTCTTCGAGCCGATAAAAAATGTTGCGAAGCCTTAGCGAAATTCCCAATGATGAAAATGCAGTTTTGTTGGGAAGGCAATCCCGTTGATCATGTCTGAGAGTATAACAACCATAATTTTCTTGGGAGCTAGCACATCACACAAATGTCGAAGCTTTCACATTACTCTCCAAAGGAGCTAAAAAGTGGTGCAATAAACTTGCATCGGGAAACATTTGTTGTTAACCTCGACCTAAAGAACCAATTCATCCATATGTTAACCGTAGGAATGCCAGGCTCGACCCCGATAGCATGATCCAAGGAACGAAATGAAGAAGGAACTGGTCACAATGGAAGATCAATCAATATTATCTTTGGGTCTGCTTTCGATCAAATGGAGGTAGAACATTTGCTAACTCCAATTTCGAATCCATTGTACGGATTTACCAGAGAAGGCATCGTGCCATGGGAAAAATTGTTGGGAATTTACTTAACATGCACGACGGAAAATAAATAATTTTTCAATTCTCACAAAGGATCTGCTTTGTGTTTAGATAGAAACTGTGATAAAAATTATACATTTGATGAATTCCACGAGCTCCTTTACTTTTCTTGAACTCGAATGATCACGATTTACAATTCAAGCTGTCCAATTGTCCAACCTCCAACGGTAATGCACACAGAGAACAAGAATGACGATTAGAGTTTTCTTTTCTTGTGGTTGCAAGAATAATGAATTTTTTCCTATAGTTTTCAAACCCTAGTAGCCTATTAATATAAGTCAAAGCGGGCTTGACCTGTCTCTTGAACTTAACCCGATCCAATATTTAATTAATCAAATTAATTAAATTTGGTCCATGAATTAATTAATCCAATTAATTAATTCGGACATATTAATAAGCAACTCAATTAATTAATTATCTAACACTTGTTAATTAATCAATTGGTGAATCTCATTCTTCTAGTTCTCTTTTCGTGTGTGATCCATCAGGTTCTTGATCACGATACCGAACGATATAAATTATTATTTTGATATAATCAAAATTGATAAATTAACATACCCCTTTTCATTTATAATCAATTCACATTCGTCGTTCCAGATTGACATCTAACAATGTGTCGGACAATACATGTGACGGGAAATGTCACGTGATATGATAAAACCAAACTAGTTCGTTTATCGTGAAAATATAATCCATTCGTCAATATGATCCGATCAATTACGAGATATGGATATGTGTCAATCTCAATTATTGATCATATTTTTCATTCTATCATTAAGTTAATGTAAGTCAAAAACTCATTTTTGACTTATGAGTATACCTTGGCCAAAGATTTCATTATCAACTTAATTGGATAAAATGTAAATCATAATCTCTTATACTATCTAAGATAGACGAACCCTCTATTGATCACTCACAACCTTCATATGATTCTCGACATACCTGAACGATGTCGTATTAGTGATCATTGGCAGAACAACACCCAACATCACCAAAGTATGACTATCCTCATATAAGACACTATGATGACCTCAAGTCAAAGGATCAATTTCACTACTGAACGTTAGAGATTAACCACTGATACTCAGATAGTTACCCATGTGGAATCTCCTCATCGGGTCTCCAATATTTTGTTCTATAACAAAATATACACGTGTTTAATCAAGCGTCATCACACTTTAACTTGTGAGATCAGCTACTTACTTCACAAGTAAGAAATGCCACACGTGATGGTCTATCCGTAATAACGATATCCTATCTCGTTATTACATACGACCATGACGATTTAAGATTCAGTCATATTAATTTGTATCTCACAATCACAACTCTTTGTGATTAACAAATCACCAAGACTTGAATATACAGATTCTATTATTTATCTATTAGAATTAATTCAATTAAATAATAAATCTTACCATAAATATGCATCGATAATATATATAGTAAAAGTATTTATGTCCAATATTGATTGGACCTAAGGCATAATACTTACAATAACCTTCTCTATCATTATGGGGATCACACACAAGACTGCTCAAGTATTTTGGATTTCCTTATAGTGGACAACATGTCGGCCTATAATGTAGTCCTCGGGGGACAAGTGGAAGTAATGTATAAATACATCTCGGGCTATTTCTTTCTATTATTAACAATGTTTACTGCAATTGAAATAAAAAGAGATGGTGTGTCAATTTTGGATGATGTGCTGTTATTTTGTTGGGGACAGCATTTTCGAGACAACAGATCTATCTGTTAGCCCTACATTTTCGGACAACTATTATGTCTGGTTGCATCTCTTGCATCCAATCTTCGATTTTACCTACGTCTGTCTTGTACTTTTGTTGCATGCATTGCATCTGTCCCACGTCTCGACCCCTTGCCTTGGCACTGCACCACATAGCCTTCGGCTCCTTGCTTGTGGCAACCTCATCACCAGCCGTCAGCTCTTTGCCATTCTTAGGTGCATGTTTCGGCTACTTTTGCAGAGCTACTGCTGTCAAGACCGGATTGTGACATTCTCCCTTTCTTCATTAATAACATTAACACAACAAAGATAACAGAGGAGGGCTTCTTCTACAGAAAATCAATCACAGTTCACTTCTTCCATTCTTTGATCAAGTTGCTTTTGAGCTTCAACAGTTTTTATTAATGGAAACTTGAAGAATTGTTGAGTTATATTACATTAAAAATTTAAAATCAAAGGTAAGATATACTTAATGCAAGTGGAGTATTATAATGGACGTAACAGTTATATAAAGGGGAGAAACATTGATAATAGTGTATTCCAATTTTTTTATTTTTTATTTTTTTTTGTTAAGGCACTTATAATTCTCATCTATTAGTACATCTTTCTTCCACATTTATTACACTCCGTTAGTCGCTACATCAATATATCTTCTAGATAACAAGTTAAAGGAATACCGCTAACCTGTTCTTTGATTTTACCAATTCATGAACAAAATATTTTAGCATGATAGAGGAACATAGAATCTAGAACGTAAGTAGCAATTGAAAAGCTACAGGCAATATCTAATGACCATCTGAAACTCTGTAGCTCACTATAGGCTGGGTAAACAAAGAGAAAATGTGTGAAACGAGATATCTAGCAACAAGAACGAAAGAATTGAATAGAGAAACTCTATCTAGAATAAGCACGTATAGGATAATGTATTGCCCCAACGAATATCTTCATAGTATCAGAATATTACATAACATGTGTTGTGTCTATCTTCTAGCATAGATACAACCATGTAAAAAGAGGGTGTGTCCTGCCCACAAAACAAGTTGTTTTTTGTTGTACGATTTTTTCATGAGCCACTCTATTTGTTGAAACATCTGCTTGAATTCAACTCAGTCCATGATCCAGTAAGTGTACATAGTCACTGGAAATCGAATGTTAACAACCTCAAGGCTTGTTTAAATTTCAAGAACAATGTCTGCAAACCGAATATATATTGTTTTGTCAATTATATGTTATATTATATTGAAAACTGTGAATCAGATCTGCTAAACTGTAAAATATGAACTTACATTCAGAATCAGTTTTGTCCCATTTAGACCCCTGGCGTCTTTTCTCCCGCACTTCATCTTGATTTTCTGCATTTGATGTATCTTGATTTTCTGCATTTGATGTATGTCTGTTATCCTTTAGATATTTCTTTGTGGATGATCCTCGAGAAGAATTTTGAGGGTACATCTTTTTGGTGAGCATTGTCCTCAAAAGCTGTAAATCACGATTAATACAATTCATTAGGAATACCATGACTGAGAGCTCAACATAATATTAAGCTCTTTAAAAGGATTCTAGGGGAACTGCATTAAAACGTGTACAATCTGTCTACTTGTCCACGATTTAATTAATTTGTTGCACAATTAGGCTTCATAAAGTATTATCCTAGTGTTAGATCTAATATTAGTGAACATTTTCTGAAAATGTAAGGCAGATATTTGCATCTTAGATTGTGAAAAACAGGAGACTAGACATTCTTAGGTACAATTAGTCGCACTTTTTGCATCGAGAATAAAGGTTGAGCATGAATTATATGGATTCATGCATCAAGAATATAGAGATGGTTACCTTCTCCATCCGTGATTCAGGAAATGGATCTCGAAGGCTGGGAGTTTGTGCAAAGCCACTTCTGCAAGCAAACATTTTCTTGAGAAGGAAAGTTACTGATTTCTTGCCAATTGCTTTCTTCTTCTTTTCACAAACATCTTTACATCTTCCGAGGATTATTCTAATGGTTCGATCAATTTCTTCTTCGTCTTTATCATCTGAAATAGTGCTGATGCTGAATCTATTAGAAATTGTGCGATCTACTTCCAAGCTAGAAGGGCAGTTGAGGAATCTATCTAATGGTAGATCATTAATTGGTTCTTCAGCTTTTGGTTTGCGAGTTAAAAGTGTTGTCAACTCCTTCTGTAACTTTCTGACTTCTTCAGCAGTGAATTCCGAAAAATCTGGAGAGGAAAATTGCTCGTCCGGGAGGATTTCGTGGTCTGGATTCTGTACAATTTGGCTCTCTTGATTTTCTGTAAGATCCGTGTTGCCAAAAGTTCCAATTGCCAGCAATCCTTGAGGCCAGTCACTGAATTCTTCCTTCGGAGGTTCTTTCTTTGTATGACCTGAATGAAAGAAATTAAAATTCGAGATCAATAAGTAATAACCAAATTTATATTTAATAAGATATTTGAAATGCTATAGCCAATAGACCCTAGATATGTAAAATTGTGAAGTAGAATGTAAATGGAGAAGAAATTTTAGAATTTTCCCCAGGTAAGAAGGATATCATGTAAAAAAATCATAGTTTTTTGTATCATTCTGTCGAAATAGTTAAGTTGCATCGGTTCGCTGAAAATACACACATTTATTTAATCTTCCAAGTGGAAACAGATGATTTGAGACTCTAAATCGATAGGTGGCAGGCACATACACTGAACTCTTCCATTATATCTAGAAAAGTTGCTTAAATTGCCAGACCATGGAAATTTTCGTGTCAGTCACTTCGAGACTTCTTAGAATCTTGATTGACACTGGATCTTCATGGAATGTATCCTAGACTAACATCCAAAGAAGATATTCTGAGTGTTGTATCAGATGACTTCGTGATGGGCTTTTTGATTTACTTTTCTTTAAACACTGATCGTGCTAAGTGATCATTTTTATGATTGCATGGAGATTAACAATCATTTTCCATTGTTAATAGCACTAGAATTGTACAGAATCAGAACAAAAACGAGCTCTTTCTTTAATCACTTATAGTCATGTAAAACGAAAGTCTCATGCACAGTTATGTCTTCAAGCCAACTTTAAGAGTGAATCTTGTGCATCCTTGGATAGAAGCTCAATATAGCAAAACATATCAAACTATAATCTTAATCAGATTGATTTTGATATACCAGATCAAGTTAGAAAGTGCATGTTCATAAAATTGAATTACAATTATATAATCCTCAAGTCCCCTCACAGCTCCCACTCCCTCTCCAAATTAACTTCTACAATACTCCTCCACGGACAAAGGAAAAAGATTATTTTACCAGCAAGTATCTCCTTAAAATATGTCTTACACCATTAGATCATCAACCAACACTGTAACAGAAGATTCACTAGCATTATGTAAGAAGGAAGAAGAACGTACGACTAGCAGGAACTGCATTTGGCTTCTTATCCCCTTGTCCTCCATTGAACTTATTCTGCATCCAGTTGAAGAACTGCAGCAAAACAAATCAAAACCACTATAACTATAGTTGCATTACTTGCATACTGGTTCCTAAGAAAACAAGACAAATATCTCACTGTCTCTCACCTTCATTTCCAAAGAACAGTAATTAAATTCTCTTCACAGTTGCTAGAAAATTTAGCAAGTCCTGTGGGAATTAATGGTTGTGTTGTGTGGTGTAATTGGAAAAAAGTCTGAAGCTCAAAAAGCAGATCCTAGAAGCCAATAAGATTTCACCTTTGGAACTAATAAATATAGATTAATCTGTTATGAAAACCATGGCCAAAGCTGAGCAGCTTTTCAATGGTTCAAGTTACTAAATATTAGACAATCAGGATCCCCTTAACCTTTCACTCAAAACAATCAACCTTGTATACAGGCTCCCTGTCATTAAATATCCCAATGCTCCAAAAACGTTCTCTTTTACATTAGCCTCTGTCTTCAACTTAGTACACAAATGGGCAGCCCCACACGTCTCTTTCTTTTCCGCACTTCAAAAGAGAGTTCTAGAGCTGTAGATATTCCTAGTTTTTCGACTAACACTCATACATGGTGAGCAGATACGAGTGAAGACAGTAAATTCGACCCTATAAACAATTCCACCCGGATTTATATATTGATAGTTACACATGGGTGATTGAGTTCTAGAGCCATGTACATGTGTACTTTTTTCGACTAACAATTATACATGGTGAGCATCAGAACAGCAACTAGATCACTAAAATGTGGGGCTATCACACGATATTAGGCGTGTAAATACCCAATGGGTGAAGAATTTGGGGGCGACAAATGCTGAACGAGTAATCGTGGCGCTGGTTTAGTCCATGAATTAAGAATGCTAATTTCGAGGTATTACTGTCAATCTCGAAAACGTTTACTATCAGAAGATCACCAAATTGACACCAGAATTAGGTCTAAGCACTTGCTTTAAGGCCTCAGTCACCACAAAACGACAGCAAATAATTGAACAATTGGGAAATAAAACTATACAAGTTTTTTCCCAAAATCTTAGGCAAATTACGGAACAAAATAAAAATTGAAGAGTAACAGCCATAAACCTCAAAAATCCTACAATTCAAATTATCTACAATTACGAGAAGCGAAATTTAAAGAAATTGGCAGCACCATACCGCACTACTTTTCCATCTGATTGTTAGATTTCCTCGTTCATAATCACAAATTTCTGGATTTGAAACGAGGAATGCTCGAATGAAATGAGGAAAAAATGGTCATCTTATTCTTTTTCTTTTTGTTTTTAAAAGTTCTTTAGTAACTTGGTTAATTTGAAACCTTTTGGCCCACCTCTTTATAATCAATTTCAGAGTTAATGGTCCCAATAATTAATATCAGTTGAAATCTTTCTACACCTTAAGATATCAAATTTTAGCCACTAAATTTTCCCTACTTACTAGAATTACTTTTGTTACGCATTCCTACGAAAATTACTAACATTGGCATACACAGATTTCACAGCTGACGCCTCATCACCGTTAGATGTCCAACAACGAAAGATGGACAATACATAAGGAATGTATCTTTGATTGTTTATTGTACTTTAATAGACAGCTTTGATTACTTACTATATTTAAACTGGTCGAGTTTTGAACAATAAATTTTCAAAGTGATGTCGAGATGATACAAAAGCATGTGTTTTGTTTATTTTTTGTGTTTTATGTTGTGTTATAATATGTTTAGTAATTTTTTTTCTAGGTTGAGCATTTTATTGAATTTTTTGCTAATGGAATTATTACGTGATATTATAATGTCATGTTCAATTGTAGAAGTCAAAAATTCAAGTACTTTTTTTTAATTATATTGAAATTCATTAATAAGAGTATGTTTGAGCTCTATTTTTTTTGCTCAAAATGCATTTTGAAATAATATTTTGATGGAGAATGAGCAGATAAAAAAATAAGGAAACGTTTTGAATTTACAGGTAATATTATTTTATTGAAAAATGTGTGTTTGAAAATAAGAGAAAGAGAAATGTATTTTGAAAATAATGGGGACCAAACAATAAGAGTTTAATATATTTAAATGCGTCTTCTTCGTTTTTACTTGTTTATATTTTCGAGTTTCAGAGACTGATAGAATAACATATTTTCATAGTGTCTGTGCTATTAATGTCGTATGATCTTCCATGGAAAAAAAAATAAGATACTAGAAAAAAAGCTTAACATTTCAAATAGTTTATGTTTAGACAAATCACCTTAAGTGAAATCAAATCAAATTATAGTTTCCCAATTAAACAAAATTTAAATAAAATTATTAATAGAGAATTGTGATCGAGTTTGATTTGATTTTCTCCCATATTATTCCATTAGCAAAATAATTCAATAAAATGTTCAGCTTAAAAAATCTTTCTAAGAGCATACTAACATAACATTAAACACACAAAATAAACAAAACTCATGTTTTCATATCATGCCGGCGTCACTTTGGAAAGTTTAGTGATCAAAACTCTACCAGTTTAAAGTATATTGAGCAATCAAGACGCTTTTCTTATGTGGACTGTCATTCTTTCGTGATTAGGCATCTAATGACAATGGACACCAGCTATGAAATTTGTCTATCAGATCAGCTATTCCATTAGAGACGCAAAACGAAAGTATTTTTAGTGTGTATCGTCCAAACTTTGAGAAGTCTAGCGGTCAAAATTTGGTATCTTAAAATGTAGTAAGCAATCAAAGATGTTAATCTAAGTTCAGTGATTATTGTAATAATTAACTCTCATTTTCAAGCACTGATTTTGAACTTAATACCTCATCCGAGAAATTGGATATAATCACATATTTTTATACTATATTCCAAGTTGGAGGCCGATTAAATTTTTTAGGTCATATTGAGCCATATTATTTTTCATTCATTATTAATAAAACATGACTATGAAATTATCCAGAATAATTTTTTTTTTAATTTGATCTAAACTTGCACCAATGAGATGAAAGCAAACGTTTTTTCAAATATAATAATATATTGGGTGGAGAGTTGATTATAGAACAAACTTTTTGAACAAATGTTAGTCAATATGTAAGGACATACAAAGGGAAATTATTGGAAATACCCAAAATAAACCAATAGCCTTTCCAAAATACCCCATTCCACTATTCAACAATATAAACTACCTAAAATACCCTTAAAAACAATAATTGCAACTAAAGCTTTCAAAATAAGAAAAGAATACAATCAAGTCCAGAATTACTTTTGTTACGCATTCCTATGAAAATTGCTAACATGGCATACACAGATTTCATAGCTGACGCCTCATCACCGTTAGATGTCCAACAACGAAAGATGGACAATACATAAGGAATGTATCTTTGATTGTTTATTGTACTTTTATAGACAACTTTGATTGCTTACTATATTTAAACTGGTTGAGTTTTGAACAATAAATTTTCAAAGTGATGTCGAGATGATACAAAAGCATGTGTTTTGTTTATTTTTTGTGTTTTATGTTGTGTTATTATATGTTTAGTAATTTTTTTCTAGGTTGAGCATTTTATTGAATTTTTTGCTAATGGATTACGTGATATTATAATGTCATGTTCAATTGTAGAAGTCGAAAATTCAAGTACTTTTTTTTAATTATATTGAAATTCATTAATAAGAGTCTGTTTGAGCTCCATTTTTTTTTTTGTTCAAAATGCATTTTGAAATAGTATTTTGATGGAGAATGAGTAGATAAAAAAATAAGGTAACGTTTTGAATTTACGTGTAATATTATTTTATTGAAAAATGTGTGTTTGAAAATAAGAGAAAGAGAAATGTATTTTAAAAATAATGGGGACCAAACAATAAGAGTTTAATATATTTAAATGCGTCTTCTTAGTTTTTACTTGTTTATATTTTCGAGTTGAATAATGCTACTTGCAGTCGTTCACTGCAGCAGTCACCCTATGTGGCACACACATGACATATAGTTATTTGATACATTAAATGTGGTAAAAAACTACCACATTAATTCATCAAATAACTATATGTCATGTTTTTGTTACATAGGGCGGCTGCTGCAATGAGCGACTGCAAGTAACATTACTCTTTCGAGTTTCAAAGACTGATAGAATAATATATTGTCATAGTGTCTGTGCTATTAATGTCGTATGATCTTCCACACTTGGAATAAAATAAGATACTAGAAAAAAGGCTTAACATTTCAAATAGTTTATGTTTAGACAAGTAACCTTAAGTGAAATCAAATCAAATTATAGTTTCCCAATTAAACAAAATTTAAATAAAATTATTAATAAGAGAATGGTGATCGAGTTTGATTTGATTTTCTCCCATATTATTCCATTAGCGAAATAATTCAATAAAATGTTCAGTTTAAAAAATCTTTCTAAGAGCATAATAACATAACATTAAACACGCAAAATAAACAAAACTCATGTTTTCATATCATGCCGGTGTCACTTTGGAAAGTTTAGTGACCAAAACTCTACCAGCTTAAAGTATATTGAGCAATCAAGACGCTTTTCTTATGTGGACTGTCATTCTTTCGTGATTAGGCATCTAATGACAATGGACAACAGCTATGAAATTTGTCTATCCAGCTATTCCATTAGAGACACAAAACGAAAGTATTTTTAGTGTGCATCGTCCAAACTTTGATAAGTCTAGTGGTCAAAATTTGGTATCTTAAAATGTAGTAAGCAATCAAAGATGTTAATCTAAGTTCAGTGATTATTGTAATAATTAACTCTCATTTTCAAGCACTGATTTTGAACTTAATACCTCATCCGATAAATTGGATATAATCACATATTTTTATACTATATTCCAAGTTGGAGGCCGATTAAATTTTTTAGGTCATATTGAGCCATATTATTTTTCATTCATTATTAATAAAAACATGACTATTAAATTATCCAGAATAAATTTTTTTTTTTTTTTTTAATTTGATCTAAACTTGTACCAATGAGATGAAAGCAAACGTTTTTTCAAATATAATAATATATTGGGTGGAGAGTTGATTATAGAACAAACTTTTTGAACAAATGTTAGTCAATATGTAAGGACATACAAATCATAGGTCTCATAGACATACCAATTATTTCACTTCGTTAGTTTTGGTTAGGTTCTCTTAGAAGTGAAACGAATCGGACCGTGCTCGCTGTTAATTCAATAATCTAATTAGTTAAAATTGCCATAAAATAATCGGCAAAATGTACAAAAAGAAAAATATTTTTCCCCGTTATCGATGAAAAAATCACCAATTCTACACGAGAATTTTTGGGAGAAAAACGTCATTCATCTCGTCACCAATTTTGTAACAAATTTGCTTGGCTGAATTTGTACCTTAGACAATTTTTACATGTTCCTCGAAAAGTGAAAGAAAGTCGCTCCCACCAGAAAATAAGCCTTTATTTTTTTATTAACATTAAGAAATTAAGGTTAACCACGTGATTGAATCAAGTAGAAGTCTGGGGTTTGGAAATCAAAAACCATGAGTTTGCATGGAAAGATGAGATTTGCTAAATGTGGAATGTTCTTCTCACTAAAAGATGTGGACATCTACTCTCCATAAAGTGGATATCATCAATAATTGACTAGCTAGCATTTCATTGGATCTTGAATATAGTTCTTGCATATATTTTTGAGAAAATAGTTGTCTAGTGCTATGGCCTATGTACTGGGTTTCTAGTGCAGTTGATCGCCTTAACTTACTTTTAAATATCAAATACCTTGTAAAACATGAAATTTACGATTTCCTCTTACTATCCAATGAATATTAGACTTTTAAGTACTCTTAATGAACTATCTACTATGTGTCCCATTTATACAAATGTAAAGTGTCGAATACGCACCTACAAAGTCATTAGAATATTAACACATATATTTATCTATACTAGTCGTATATATCTAACAAAAGCAACATAAGGATCACTAGGTGTGTTAAATTCGATTAAACAACCCAAATCCAAAAGCGTCTCTCCTCATTAATGCCCTGGTCCATTACATAATGTATCTTAGACAGTTTGTTCAAGAAAATATGTTTCGGATTTAAATCACTGCAAGTTCACGGTTCGTTGACAAATAATAAAGTGAAAATCCTAGAATTTCGAGTATCGTTCCCACGTTAATTGATTTAACTTGATTTTTATTATCGCGACTTTAACCGAATCTATTAAATTTGAGATGCGTTTTTATGTTTCTATGATTAAACTAAAACTAGCATGTAAATTGAACTAAAGTTACTACTTAAATGCAAAAATGACGTTTCAATGCAAAAGATTTGAATGAAATTAATGTATGAAAAAACGCACTATGATCCTGAATCACCAAACAAAGTTCCCTTTTAATCCATATTTCATAATTTGATAACACGATGAATTGGTTGAAAAATAAATGTTTCTAACTTATCCAACAATCTGTTTCAAGTATAATTGAACATATTCTAGCATACCATTTAACTATATTTCTATGACAAC